CGGAAAATACCCACAGACTCCCTCAAAGCATCGGCTATCCTTCGTGCTAAAGCGTCCATAGCCTCCTGACCTGCTAGCTCGGCCACATTGGCCTGGCCAACTCCCTCCTGCTGTGTCGGAATATCATCCGGTAAAGGCATCTCCTGCCTACCACATCTGCCTCGTCTACCACGTCCTCATCCTGACATCCTAATAAAGGTAACGAAGAACGTTAGTACATTCATAAATGTGCCAAAACTGAACACTCGCGTCCTAATACATGGACAACTGTAATTCACTCCACGTAAGCACATAAACACATAAGCACTTACGAATTTCATTTCCAGATAATGATAGTCCCGAGGCGTTACTAGAGTTCCGGTTAGAAACAACATTGATCAAGTGCTTTTCCAACAAGACTCCCAGAAACCCAAGGATCCAATCAACATCCTAGAAACTACATTCCATACCCACATAGTCACATAAGCATGTTATCAATTAAGCACATAACGTATGACACTACATCTAAGTCCCTATCAAGCGAGACAAACCTATTGTGATCCTAATCACTTCCCACGTACCCAAAGTATTCGAACCCGTTACGCTTTGATACCAAGTTGTAACGCCCTTAAAATAATACATAAAACCCACTACTTTAGACATGCATTGATATAAAAGAAACCAACCATTTTTATTCATCAGAGTAATTCTTACAACTGTATTACATGTTAACAACAAAAGCAAATGCCCTATGGGCTTACAGCTTTCCAAGTCAACACCTGATTACACAAAAGAAGAGTACTAACTCTATACAAAATAAGCCCTTGGCTTGATATACATGTAATACAAACGAAATAATAATAAAAAAAAGAGTCTTCAACTCTCATCATCATCCAAGCTATATCCTTGGAGGTGGCATACTACCCGCACCTGAAAATAATGTCCCATAAAGGGTGAGCCAACGCCCAGTAGAGATATGTTAAACACAGTATGAGCAATGACTAAGACATTAGCAATTGATAAATGTTCAATTTCCATAAATTAGTTCATAACCCATTTCCATTTCATGACCACTATGTTCATGTTTCATTTCAATTTCCATTTCTTATCAACTGTCATACTCTATGACATATCCAATTGATTAGTTTTAGTTTACCTAATCATCATGCATTGTCTACAACAATCAAAACTACCCTCCACGGTAGCCCAAGCAATTATTTCTAAACAGATAATAAAAGCTCCAACAGATAAAATATCAATGGTTTCAAAAGTGAGCGATTAATAAATCTAACTCCACTATTCAACCATATAATGAACCAATTTCATTATTTCCAACTCAATTCCATAAAGTCACAATTTTTCCCAAAATTAGGGTTTTCCACCCGATTCCCAAATATCAACCCAATGGTCCAAATATCAACAATCAATAACGATATCATTATTTTGAACCCACAATACACATTTTAGACTCAAAATAACAAATCCTCTTTTAACATTTTGAAACCCTAAGTCCCAAAATTTCCCAACTTCAACACTTTATCAAAACAACCAAAAATCTAGGTCAAAGACCATAAGAGTGAGTAGGAATCCCTATCTCAAATTCGGAGCTCAAGGAAAGAAGGTGAAGAAACTCAACGTGCTCCGAAACTCAATATTCTCGGATCAATGTGTAGCCCTCGACGATCAACCCAACTTTTACAAAGGCCGAAGGAAAAGGAAACACTCTAACTAGATCAAACCCTAGAGAGAAGGGAGTTTCTAGAGAGAGGAACTCTCAAAATGTCTTTTTAGAAAGTAAGAGAGAGAGAGAGAGAGAGAATGTAAAAAGTGATTTTAAAATCCCCAGCTGCTAACTGATATACGACATTCCCGCTCGAGCGGAGAACACAACGCTCGAGCGTCAAGAACAAAAAACTAGGTCCGCTCGAGCGCAATAAGGCCCGCTCGAGCGCCAAGACACAAGAATAAAGTACATCTGCTCGAGCGCGAAAACCAGTCCGCTCGAGCGTAGATTTCCCCCTCCTAGAACTTACACCAAAAAGTACTACCCGCTCGAGCGCCAGAGTACCCGTTCGAGCGCCACCACTCGAGCGCAAAGAAACCCACTCGAGCGTGAAAAACATGCCTGCAGAAGTTCTGTAGAGCACCAAAATACTGGGAGCGTGCAATCTCCGCTCGAGCGCAAGAAGACTCGCTCGAGCGGACCTCCTAAAAACTGGGCAACAAAGAATTGAAACCAAAGTCCAACCAACCTATAACAACTCTACCCAATACATCCTAAAACTCAATCAAGCGGAAATAAAGGATGACAACAAGATATACCACCACCAACATCACGGAACCGAGTCCGGAATACAACAGAACAGTAAAGGGACAACCGGGATCGCTATACTCTCTGCCTTATACCCTCGTCTAGAGGATCATTGCTTACTCTACGAGGGGGGCCTTGACAGGGGAAGCTGGAAGTTGAACTGACCCCACCGTTGCTGACCTACAATGCGACCTGAATGGGAAGAATGATATGATCGAGTTGTCTCCGCTAGGACACTTGACCTTCAGGAACTTAGCCTCATTGATGCCCTTCGATTGGCTAGATTTTCTATTCCTAAAGACCCTTTCTTCATACCTGTTGCATTATGTTTTTGGAATTCCTCTTTTAATTTTTTCTAATTTAAATGTGGCATAATGGCCCCTACCATTTTGGATATATGCCATCTCTTAGGGTTATCCCTCATTGGCACTCCTTTTGGTCCTGACTATTCCAATCTTAATGTGCCTTTTTCCATCCCTCCTTTGAACTCATTCTTGACAGGGAAGGCCCTGTGTCAGACAGAGAGTTCTTCTTATTTCTTTTGTATTGACTTTGTAAATTCTTGTTTTGTACTTCTTCTCAGAGCATTATGCCTAAGTTTGCCCCACTTGCCAAGGCTCTTGCCTAGAAGAAGAAGATAGCCTTGACTCCTTATGTTTGAGGCCATGTTTATAGAGTTTGCTCCTAATTTTACGAGAAACTTCTAGATGTCGACCAAGAAGGCCGTCTATGGGTATTAAAACTCTGGCTCTTTGCATATTTCACTGGTCTACATTCCAAGTGCTTGAGATTTTTGTTGCAAGAACCCACTACTCATGGAGAGAAATTTGCCAGGATTTCTTTATACCCCTCCAGCTTTGCCTACTATTTTACTTTCTTCCATCAACTCTCAGTTTTCCCTCATTCTCACACCTTCTTCTGTCCCTTCGAAACCAATATTGGCCTAGCATAGTTAAGGACTTTCTTGGCTGATAGAAACTGTTCCCAGCCCCAGCACAGGGATATGTGGGCTTATATTCTAACCCCAAGAGAGCTTTTCATTGGCACTTTAAACCCTAGAGCCTACAAATGCATAGTAGAATCCTACTGCCCTGCTCAATTTGCCATGCAATTTGGGCGTACCCAAGAGATCCCTATCCCTCTTTGTAGTCAAACTAACCCCAATCTTGTCACTAGAGAGTTGAAGGTGCAAAGATCACTGTTAGAGGAGGCAACCTCCAAATTAATTCAAGACTTAATCGAATTTCAATTCATTCCCTTCATCCCACAAGGCATTGCACTAAAGAGGTACCAAAACTGGTGGTCAGCAAATATGGAGGTACACTTAGCCATTCCCCCTCAAGATCTACTGGTGGGTCTAGGCTTACTTTCTCAGGCCCAGCCTAAGGGGACTTGGCTCATCACTCCTTCTACTGCTCCTTTTACCACTACTGTTATTGCCTCTCCTCCTTCTCCTAGAGTCACCAGGGTTGTTTCGAAGAGAGGCATGCATTTCTATTTTTTCCTTTCTCTTCTCTCTATGATGTTTATAAGGCCTTGTCCATCTACTTATGGCTTTCTTTTTTAATGCAAGAGATTCACAAGTAGAATCTCTTCAGAGAGTTCAGGCTTTGAATGTCCTCAAAGGCAAGCAACAACAACAAAGGAAAAAAAGACTTTTGCTTGATCTTGAGGAGGAGATACTTGAAACTCACTTGGAAGAGGAAGAAATAGAAAAAGAGAAAGAGATACCATTAAAAAGAAGGAAGAAAATGACAGTTTCTCCTTCTGGCCTTATTGGGGACTCTACTCATGAAGCAGCTGCCAAAGCAATAGAAGATGAGCACTCCAAAGAAATCATTGTATTTTAGAGGTTTGAGAAGGGGAGGCAGCAGCAAGTACTAAAGGGTGAAGCCATTGCTGCTGATGCACTCCAAAGAGAAGTTGCAAGGAGGCAACAAGCTACTGAACATTATACCCTTCATAGTTCTCCAACCATTACTACCACTTCTGAAACTGGTAGTTTCCTTTTGTATCTCTAGTAATTTCCTTTCCCAAGTTTTCAATAATGAAACTTAACATTACTTCATATTTCTTATTTTGCAGCAACAGTTATTCTACCTCCTCCTTCGATAAGGGTTTCTTCAGACTTATCTGAAGTTGAAAGACCATTAGAAGCAACTTCGAAAAGAAGGAAGAAAATCGACACTAAATTGCCTGTAAGTGTAAAGCCCATCCAGGCAATACTTCCATTTCCTGGTTCTACACTTTTCATACCTTTTTTTAGGCAAAGCATTCCTATATCTTTATCCTTTGGCTTAACTCCATATCTTCCTGATCTAACCTTTACCTCAGCCCATTTTACTCTCCCTACAGTCCTTGCTTCTCCTTCCCTTCCTGAGGAGATCCCAGTTATCACTTCATCTCCAATGATAGCTAATACTCCCAGAGAAGATACTGGTAGCTCACCAATTCTTTGCCCACCATCATTACCCAGCTCCAATCCTTCTTCTCTTGACTTACTAGTGGCTAGAACTATAGACACTGCTAGGGACACTTCATCCTCTTCTCTTATCCCTATGCATCCATCTCTTCCTTCCACTAGAGACCTCTCTTCACTTCTAATGTCAATGGAAGAGATGGACATTTTTTAAACTAGGCTGGCTAGCCTTTTTGACATACCTTCTACCATTCCATCAGCCAGTAATGAAGCTGAGCCATTGGTTCTGGCTTACTCTTTCTTGGAAATTTTTGAGAGCTCTTCAACTATCAGTAGGGCTTCTTCACCTCCACTGGACTTGGGCACCTGTTTGGAATTGCTGACATCATTCTCAAGGATCCCATTCGCAGCCTTACAAAGACCTATCACCAAGAATGGTTTCCTCCGATACTGTAAGGTCATTGAGCAATCCAACATAGCTATTTTAAGTCACTTGTCTCAGGCAACAGCTACCATAGATTTTTATGTCAACATTTGCCATATTGCCAAAGCTGCAGAGGAAAAGCTATCAAAAGATAAGGAATTTATTTCTCATATATATGTTGAGGTGTTTGAATTGAAAGGACAACCTTCCTCTGCTTCTCAATTTCGAACCCAGCTCTAGGAGAAAGCTCAATTAGAGGAAGAGTTATCAGCAGTTAATCTAGCTTTGGATCGAATTGCTACAAAGTTGTAAATCACCAACCAAGGGCTAGCTGATCGATAGTAGGACATGGCTACAGCCATTCAGTTGTTCCCATCCCTTAGGAGTAGAGAATTAATTATAAGGGAACAACTGAAACATTGTACTGATTTTTGAGCCAATTTGTGGCTGCATGTACTCAATTCTATATGAAATGAAATCTTTATTCATTATTTGAGTGTCTTTATGCTTCTATTGTTTAGCATTTTCTACATTCCTTGTGTTTCCCACATAGTTAGATAATAAGGTTTCAAGTATCTGCCATTAATTTTCTTAGGATGCATATATCCATTCAAATTTCTTAAATGATATGTTCTCCTAGGAAGGACTCTATGAATTTAATATGGACCTTCCCAATAAGGTGACCATTTGCCAAACTTATGGTTTTTAATTCCTATTGGAAGTATTGTCTTCCATACCAAGTCACCTTCGTCAAAACTAATGTGCTTAACCTTCTTATTGTAGCTCTTGGCTACCTTTTTCTTTTGGAACAAAATATTATTTAATGCAAGAATTCGAGCTTCATCTATACTCTCTAATTCCAAAAACATGCTCTGATGGTATCACTCAGAAGTTAACTGATTCTGGCATTTCACCCTCAAAGACTTAATGTTCATTTCTACAGACAACACTGCATCATGTCCATGTACTAAAGCATAAGGAGTTACTCATGTACTTGATCTTGGAGAAGTCCTGTAAGCCCATAATACATCCAACAACAAATTATGCCAATCCCTAGGATTGTCTTCCACAACTCTTTGTATTTCCTTTTTCAAGGACTTGTTGGATGATTCTGCTTGACCATGTGCTTGTGCATAGTAAGGGGTGGAATTAACAAGACTAATCCCAAATTCTGTTGTGAGACTTTACCATCTTTCCATCAAATACAATCCCATTATCTATAGTTATGGTCTCTGGGATGCCAAAGCTGTGGATCAGATCTTTAATAAATCCAATAACCTCAGTTTGATCCACAGCTTTATATGGTTTAGCTTTAACCCACTTAGTGAAGTAATTTGTAGCCACTAGGATAAAATAATGGTGCTTCGAAGAGGGAGGATGTATTTTCCCTATCATATCCATAGTCTAACCTCTAAATGGTCAGGGCTTCACAACTGCATTTAAATCAGTTATTAATACATGTCTTATCATGCCATGTTTTTGGCATGCCTGGCAACCTCTAGCATACTCTATACAATCTTTAAGGATGGTTGGCCAATAGTAGGAATGCCTTCGAAACAACCATCTCATCATCACACCAGGCTGATGAGCACCACAAATGACGTCATAAACTTCAGCCATGACTATCAATGCTTCCTTCCGCCCTAGACATTCCAATAACAATCCATCAGCTCCCCGTTTGTAAAGAGCATGACCATACACTATGTATTGCATAGATTGTAATTTGATCTTTCTGCTGGCTATCAAAGATGGGCCAGTTAGGTACTACATTATTGGATGCCTTCAATCTTGATCTGGTAAGTCATTATGATTGACTTCTAACACCATATTCCTTTTAGCTAAAGATGATATTAATTTTTGATATGTTGCTTGACTTATGTTCATTTGAGTGTCATTCATTTTTTTCTAAAATTTGAAGCTTTCTGAGCTACATCATTGGCTTTGTTATTTATGAACCTTGGGATATAAGTCACATTTGCTATCTAAAACTGAGAAAGCAAATGTAATGCAACAACATAGCATGGCAACATGCTTGCACTTTGACATTTGAAAATTCCTTTCATTTAGTTGACCACCAATTGAGAATCTCCAAATATATTAATTGCATGAGCTTGTAATCCAATAAGCATTTCTAGTCTCATTATTAAAGCTTCATATTCAGCTTGATTATTGGAACAAGTGGTTTCATCTACTCTAAAACCGTGTGTGGTTTCTACCCCCTGTGGTGACTTAATTACAACACCAATCCCAATCAGACCATTGGCCTTTGACCTGTCAAACCACATCTGCCATGGCTCAACATTGATCATACAAAGATCCATTATCTCCTGGCTTTCCATTTGACATGGATGATCTGCCAAAAAGTTAGTCAAAACTTGTCTTTTTACTGCCTTTTAGGGGACATATTCTAGATGAAACTCTGACAAAGCTAATATCCATTTGTCAATTCTTCCTCTCAACATTGGTCTAGATAACATATACTTAACCAAGTCTGTGGTTGCAATTATCGCGACAACATTAGGCAAAAGATAATATCTTGATTTCATTGCTGCAAAGTACAATGCGAGGCACAACTTTTCTACAGTTGAATATTTACATTCACAAGAATTTAAAAACCTGAGGTAATAAACTGCTTGCTCCTTGCCTTCTTCATTGTCCTGGGCTAGGAAAGCTCCCAATGAATCCTCTTTTGTAACAATGTATAACTTCAAAGGCTTGTTGTTCTTTGGTGGCATTAGCTGGAGGTTTGGCCAAGTAGGCTTTAATTCCTTCGAAAGCAGTTTGATGCTCTGCTGTCCACACAACCTTCTCTTCATCTTTCAACTTTAATAAAGAAGAAAATACTTTAATTTTCCCTGCAGTGTTAGAAATAAATCTTCGAAGAAAATTAACCTGACCAAGGAACTTTTGTACTTCTTTCTTACTTGATGGAGGCTTGGCCTCAATGATGGCTTTAGCTTTATTCTGATCAATCTATGTTTCCTTATTGTGTACTATATAGCCCAAGAAGTTTCCAGCTGATACACTAAAAAGTACATTTGAGAGGATTAAGTTTCAACTTGAACTTTCTCATTCTTTCGAAAGTTGTTTCCAAGTGAACCAAGTGTTTCTCCATGGACTGGGATTTTACTACAATGTCATCAATGTAACACTCTAAATATCCTCCAATGAGATCATAAAAGATAGTGTTCATTGCCCTTTGATATGTGACCCCAGCATTCTTCAAACCAAATAGCATTTTAACCCATTCGAATGTGTCAATGTTCCCAGGACATCTGAATGCTGTCTTATAGACATCTTTCTCTGTAATGCAGATTTGGTTGTAACCAGAATGTCCATCCATCATAGACAAAATTTTGTGCCCTGCTGAACTGTCCACCAATAAGTCTACTATGGGCATGGGGTACTCATCTTTTGGAGTTGCTAAGTTCAGGTTTCTAAAATCGATGCATACCCTCATTTTACCATTCTTCTTAACTACAGATACAATATTGGACAACCAATCAACATATCTGGCTGTTCTAATAAAGCCTACCTTAAGGAGCCTAAGAATTTCCTCCTTGACCTTCTAAACCATTTCAAGACTTATCCTTCTTGGCTTATGCTTGTATAGCTTGAAATTAGACTTCAAAGGGAGCCTATGTTCTACTAATGATCTGTCCAATCTAGGCAACTCATTATAAGACCAAGCAAAACAATCCTTACATTGTTTTAAGACAACCAATAACTGGCTTCTATCACAAAGACTTAACCAAGCACCGATATAAATGGGTTGTTGTGCAGAACTTCCCCCTAAATTAACTTTTTCCAAGGGGTCTTGTACTTAAACACTAACTAATGCTTCACTTTTGATTTCTTCTGCCCTCGAAGCAACTTCTTGGTTTTGTTCTGTTCCCACTTTCTCTCATTCAACATCTTTACCTTTTTCCTCATAGACAAAGTCTGTCCATGAGGCTTTTTCTTCCTGTATTTCTTGGACTTTTGTTTCGATGTCCAATGCACAGTATTTACCAAAGGTCAAAAAGCTGACCTGTTATTGCTCCTGCTTACAGCCAATTACCATGGCTTCTTTCTCTTGTTCTTGAACCTTATGGACTATCAATTTTATGTCCAACATTGAAAACTTAACTAAAGCCATGGGTTTGGCTTCTTGGATTTCATCTTCTTGCCTACAACCAGGCATCATTATCATCCTTGATGACAAATTCTTCATCAGCACTCTCTTGCACTAAGTGCTTCAGGTGTGCTACTTCCTCATCAACCGTCACTTCGGCTGAACCATCAGGCTTTCTCAATATACTGAGGGGTGTCACTCCTTCAGCATATAACTTGGCCTCTGCAAAGTCAGCACAAACGATAAAGGGTTGAGGGTCTGCAGTGATCTCCTCTGTCTCTCCATTGCATAAGGCCATCATTATCTTCTGATGTAGAGAGGAAGGCACACATTTGTCGGTCTATATCCAATCCCTACCAAGTGAAGCATTATACTTGGCATTACTATCTATAACAAAGAATGTCGTCATACAATCTCTAGTTTCCACACTCAGATTGATGGACAAGATACCCTGAACCATCTGCTTATCCCCAGCGAAGCCAACAATGGTTGTGCTGGTTGGGATTAATCTAGGGCTTCTTTTTCCCAGTTTCTTCAAAGAGGACTTCGGAAGCAGGTTCATTGCTGCCCCATTATCCACCAATACCCTGTTCAGTTGTATCCCATCAAAAAAAACCTTGATATACAAGGGCTTAACATGTTGTGTCATGGATGTTGTAAGATACTCAAAAGGATATGAGAGATTAATACTCACTTCCTCACTCTCATCTTCAGTTTCCATTGGTGTGGCCACTTCAGACTCATCTTGAACCATGCTAACCTGTGAATCTTCACTAGAAACTGGAATATGGTCAATCTCCTGACCTTCTTGGTTTCCATCTTCAGCCTGGAACTCCTATGGCAATACATGCACCATATTTACTGACACTGGAGGAAATGAGCCAAACTGAACTGCTGGCTGCACTTGTTTCTTTTCTAAGCTAACTTGTTCAGTTATTTCAGAAGCAACTTCCATGCTGCACTCTGGTACTTCAGTACTAGTGACTTCCTTCGAATGGTCTGCTCGTACTGATTTTTTGACCAAAAATATCTATTTAGCCATGAAGGCTTTAAACATCTCATCTTCAGCCATTTCTTTCTTTTGGCCTAATTCAACTTTTCTTTCTGTTTCACTGTCACTTTCTATCAAGGCCTTTTCAAGACCTGCTAAGCTGGATCTTTCCTTGGCTTTTAGTTCAGTGTGAATTTTAGCCAACTACTCTTTGCTGAAACTTCTTTTGTTCTGAGGAGCTAACTTTGGACTAGGATCCAATTTTGGACTTTCTCTTTCCTCTATTTGGCCTTTGGACTGGGCCAATGAAGAACTCTCTCCACTTTTCTTCAGATCCTTTTGGTACTGAGTGTACCTACGCTAGATCTTCCTCCTTTGAGACCTAGAGATTACTGGAACCATATCTGGTTCCTTTGTTTTTGGGTGCTTTAGTAATACCCAATTATTTGGAGCCACCAAAGGGGGTTTAACCATTCTGCTCTGGTCTCCAAAGACACTTCTCTGGGCAGGCATTTCTTTAGGCTTGTTCTGCATGACAAACCAATCTGGAACCCCAGGTACCCATGAACTTACTAGTTCAGTTGCTGAACTAGCTCTTTTTGCCTTTGAAGCCAGCTTTGAAACTACTTGTGGAGGCCATTGCTTGGCCCTGATCCCCTGTCCTGATCCTAATTCAGGCCTTCTGTCAGGGTGGTTACCTTGCATCTTGTCTGAGGCTGATCTTGGAGGCCAATCTTTGGCCCTGATTCCATAACTTGAGCCCACTTCAGGCTTCCTCTCAAGATAATTGCCTTCTATCCTATAGTAGTTGGGTGGTCTGAACTCATGCAGAGGTCTCTTACCCCTTGGGGTGCACTCTAGCGGCTGGTGGTCCAACGAAGAACGGCTGTTGTCTGGGACCAGTTGGGTATGGCCTCTTATTGTAGGTACTGGTTGGTTTAGGGCATCTTTGCACATCCTTGTAATACTATTTTCCATCAATTGGGAGACCTTTCAACCATTTGTAACTTAACCTGTATCTGGGACACATCCTTTGCATGACAGCTGCCTCTAGAGAGTCATCATCTAGTGCCTACTCACTAAAGTCCTCCTTTTAGTCTGCAAAGCTCTGTCCATCTGTTGGTGAACTTCTGATATCTTTCTTGGAAGTAGTCTGGCTGGCAACATGCATCTGCATATTAACCTCCTCCAATTCCTTCCCGGATAGGTTTTGGCAGTCAGGTACACCAATATTGGTTGTAACTTTCCCAATCTCTGGGAATGGGCTAGAGTTAATCCCCATAGTTTTCTCTACTT